TTCCTGCTCCGCATCCTGAAACCCTTTAGAGAATTCGTGTTTAGAACATGGAATGGATTTCTCCACCTGAGGCCAAAGAAAACCAAGTTCTGTGGGTGGAGGAAGTGGTGGCCCATGCCAGCAGCCAGCGCCAGCAAATAGATGTCCTCAGCTGCCTAAGGTGAGGCCTAGCAAATCCTGCTTCAAATCCTCCTTGCATCCCACAGCACTTGCTTTAAAGTCATAATCATGAACTCATAGAATAATAGAATGGTTTAGGCTGGAAGGGACCTTAAAGCTCATCCAGTTCCAACCTCCTGCTATGGGCAGGGACACCTTCCACTAAAGCAGGTTGCTCCAAGCCCCATCCAACCTATGTAAAAATAGCTCTGTTCACATACCTGGATGAGGAGGAAGATGTCTTAGATCATTGTGGTGGGTTTTGCACTTGGAGGAGCTGATGGCTGGGCTGGCTCCTGGCTCTTGTTTGGGACATGGAGCAAGAAGGCTGCTGCAAGGTGGGAAGTTGCTCAAAGTGAGGGTTTGGCCACCTGCAAGAGAGATGATTATTTACTTATAGGCATTATAGGTTCCTATAGCTGCATCCAGTTACCTGGGAGAGACAATATGGACGGCAGGGACAGTTCTTCCTGCAAACCCGTGGTATTTTGCCACCACAGTGACACAGAAAGACCTGTGCCAGCACGGCCCAAATCCATGGGGAGCATTTGTCTTTGGCATCTGGGCTCCCGCTGACATCCAGCACCTACCTCTGACCCAACCCAAGACCTCTCCAGGGGCATTAATTACTGAACTAGATGACTTCTGATATCATCAAATAGCCCAAATTCATTCTAAAAAGCCCCTGCAGGAGGGCTGCATTCAGTCCTCATGCCAGTGGCATCCACCATGACCACAGACACGCAGATGCATTTCTACCTCCACTGCTGCACAGCCCATGGCCTTCCGTACCTGTCCATAAAACACCATCTGATGTCTGTGCCGGGATGAGGATGCACAGGGACAACCGGACACCTCCATTCTGCCCAGAACATAAGTTCATGAACTCCTGTTATCATTCAGGCATGACCTAACTGGGACACCAGGACTTACACAATCATCTCTTTCTCTATCCCCTTCTTCCACTTCCTTAAAAACACACTTCCCGCTCTTTCCAGCTGGACAAGCTAGCCTTCTGCCTGCTTTGAAGTAAATATGTTGTTGGGTTTGGCTGCTATCACAGCCACACATGATCTTCGGCCTGATATTTTATCCATCTGCTGCTAAAGAGAATGATTTGAGCCCAAAAGGGGTTTGAGATGCTGAGTAGAACGAGGGAGAACCAATGCAAGAGGAAGTTCTCAGCTTTTCTTGTGAGTGAAATTCAAACTTCAAGCTGAAATGCCTTAAAAGTTAAACTCTCTGAGAGATGCTTGTTGTGACATCCTGGTACTCACGTGCTGCAGACAGGGGAGCATACGCTGGTTTGTATTAGCTGAGGGCCTGATCCATCCTGCTCACCTCCCTCCACATGCAGATGTAATCCAACCCTGATTTCCTCTTTTGTCTCAAGCGAATGGAAAACGGGAATTGGACTCCTCCGCCATCGAGGTTGCCAACATCTGCCTTGCTTCATTTCTTCTGCTTGAAGAACATCTGGCTCTGCTCTGGGACAGCCACACATGGCCAGTTGTGTTGCACAGGAACGAGCTGGGCTCGCTGCAATAAAGCCTCTCGTCTGCCCAGCTGGAGGTGCTCAGTGCCTTCATGGAATGGGAGTACTCTATATTCATGGTGCCTTTCCTTTCCGAGCACTCACAGAGAGCTTTCTGTTTGAGGCTGTCAACCTGTTTTCCTCTCCCTGCAGGTTGCTGTGAAAAAAGGATGGGTTTTGTTCAGTCCAACACAAGATGTGGAGGTGCCTGTTTAAGAGAAAGCACAAATAGCCATGGCATTGCTGCTGTGAAGGGGGGATACAGCTGTGAGGAGCTGCACAGGGCTGGGGTGCATTGCCTTTACTCTGCGGGGTGTCTTCAGGCAGGACGCACCTTTTTAGGCCATCTGCTATGGGCTTCCTGCAGGACAACAGCCCTTTGCTTATCATTGCTCAGCTTTACCCTCCTCCTCCTCCTCCACAGGAGTTAGTCTCAGCTGTTTTGCAGCTTGCATCACTGCTTTTTGTGAAGTTCCTTGGCATTCTCAGAAACATCACTTTGTTGTTGTGGCTTACTTGCACTTAGGGGGACTTGCTGAACTAGCATTTGAACTAGACAACGCTCTTATCTCTTATCACACCTGCAAGAGGATGGGGAGACCTGGAAAGCCCTACCATTCCTGTCCAGACGTGTTGCAAACACCCCTTTGCTCCCCAGAACTTTGCAGGGTGAAATGCTGTCCCTGAGCTTCCAAATTGAGCACACGTGCGCCCTGCTCTCCAAACTCAAAACCCACTGCCTGGCACTGATTTTCCTTATCTAACCTCAAAGGCAAAGGCTGCTCTTTGCTGTTGCTCTGGGATGCCTGTTTGGGGAATGGTGCTTTGGGACCAGCACTGGAAGCAGCTGGTGGTGAATAGCCCTTTGTGTGCTTGCTGCATAAAGAGGGCATTATTAAGTCTGATAAATAAGAATCTCCCTGTTAAAAGGAGCAAGTTATTGCATGAGTTACCTCCAGGAACGCACAGCATCTGCAGCACAGAGCTGCCTCATCCTCTTTGTGCTGGGTTGATGGATGCACCCTGGGGCATGGCCAACACCCTCTGGTTCAGGTTTATCAGCAGGGACACCGTGTCCATGCAGGGCTCCTGCTGTGCTGGAAAACAAGGAGAAGAACCAAAATGTTAGGCCAGTTTTGGAGCTGGTTTTCGTGCTGGAGCAGGGCATTCCCACTGGTCATGGAGCAGGGACAGAGGCCACAGGTCCTGGGGATGGATTTTCCCACTGCAGCCCTTCAGCTCAGGGCAGGGCAAGGGAGGGAGGTGGAATTCCTCTGAAGAGATTATTTCAGAAGCCAGTTCATTTCCAGGAAATCTCTCTTGTTCTTTCTATTTTTTCAATGGAAAAGCCAAGTCCTTGTGAACTTTTGTTCGTTCCCTCTTGCCAGCAAAGTTCCGCTTTGTGCTGGTGACAGAACCCCTTTCTCCAACCACTGGCCACAGGCCAGGACCTGGAAATCTTGACTGTGTGCTGCCAATGCCATGAGCCCCGTCCCTATGATACCTCAGCTCCAATCAGCTGGCCTTTGGGGCACTCTCTGTAGGTCCTTTTCCTTCTCCTACTTGTTCAGGAGATAATGAAGCCAGCTCTGCTTGCTTCATCTTCCCCTGTAATGAAAAAACTCAAATATCATGAAGAATTGTCTGTCAAACCTGTGGTAGCAGAAGATGAAGTGGGTTGATGGTAGTTCCTTGCAAGAAACAACTGTTCCAAGAGGTGTTGGAAGGAATAGCTCAGGCAGGAGATGCTCTTCACCCCGGAGAAGGAAATGCCACCAGAAGATTTCACACCTCGGTCCTACTCTCTGCTTTCGTGTCTTGCCTGAATCCCAGTGCACTCCTCCTCATCCAGCTGCCGGAGGTGCTCTCTCTAGGACAGGACTTTGCTGGGGCTTTTATTGCTGTTTGCTGTCATTGCATCGTTCAAAGACCTCTTCCCTTTCACCGAGCTTCCATTTCCTGGAGCTGAGTGTGTGCACAGGTGACTGCAGTGTTGGTGGTTGCACTTCCCAGGGGTGGCGATTACAGATGGAGCTATTGTGCAATCAGGAGGGAAATAGTCACAATCCCTCTAAATATGTGTCCTTCAACTGCCAAACTCTGTTTTGAAGCTGAGCGGGAAACTGACCCAAGCAGTGATTGCGACACAGCCACCGCTGCAGATCACATAACGAGAACTGGGCTTTGTTCGTTCTGTGAGAGTTTTAACTTTTGCAAAAGAGCTGGATAAATATGCCCAAACTGTGAGGAGAAGAATAATAGAATCAGAATGGTTTGGGTGGGAAGGGACCTTTAAAGACCATCTAGTCCAACACCCCTGCAGTGAGCAGGGACATCTTCAACTAGAATAGATTGCTCAAAACCCTGTCCAACCTGATCTTGAATGGTACCAGGGATGGAACATCTACCTCCTCTCTGGGCAACCTGTGGCAGTGTCTTACCACTTACTGTAAAAAATTTCTTCCTTATATCTAGTCTAAATCTACCCCCTTTTAGTTTAAAACCATTACCCCTTTTCCTGTCACAACAGGCCCTGCTATAACATTTGTCTCCATCTTTCTTATAAGCCCCTTTTAAGTACTAAAAGGCTGTTATAAGGTCTTTGCAGAGCTTTCTCTTCTCCAGGCTGACGGAGACAGCAAATACAAGGGACTACAGCTTTCTGGCCAGTAGCTCTTGGACCTCTGTAGCCACCTCCATCCCCATGGGAAGGAGTCTGAACTGTTCCTGATGGTCCACAGTAATGATGACATACGAGGGTGTAATCACAGGTTCTATAGAGACATTTATTGGAAGGCTATAAAAATAGAGTGCAAATCTCATTAAGATGCATTTAAACACATCATAGGTAAATAGCCCCACACATTGGTGGGAGAGGAGCCCAGAAGGTTGGCAGCGTGTCCAGAATTCCCTGATGTGCCCAGATCTACCAAGCAAAGCAGAGCCTCAATCCCTAGAGGTGGATTATGACCCCTGCAAACCTCTCTGATCCTTTGCTATGTGCTGCTCTATTTGGTGAGAGCTCTCAGGAGCATAGGCATCATTTCATCAACCAGCCACTGGAAATGCAACTTGGGGTAGGGCTTAATGTATCAATGTCCCGGTGAAACATCTTCTGCATTGGAGAGGAACCCTCAGCAGATGCTCACTGGAAAGGCAGAGCTTGTTCCTTCTCGTTGTGGTATGCTGATAATGGTAGTAAATATGTGCAATGTCACATCGGGTTAATACGGAGTAATGTGTAAATGAGCATCTTGGATTTTTAGCAGTCCTCCTGCTGAAGCTGTTTCCATTCAAAAGCCCCATCCAAACTCAGATCAAAATTATCCTTTTCCTGCTCTCGGGAGAGTTCCAAAAACACCTGAAATAGACAAGATAAAGCTGATTATTTCTCTGATTTTCACTAGACAATGTGATGCTCCCTTACAAGAGGAACAGCAATGGTTTGACATAAACATTCCTCAACTTAGCTGCCAGCAATTGTACAAGGAGCAATAACCTACTGCTTCAGGAGCAACCACAGAGGCTGGTCATGGGCATCTACCCAGAGCTTCCATCCCCCTGATGCGCTGTGTGCCTGACTTGGGTGAGTGGAGTCAGGCAGCAATAATCTGCCTGCACTTATTCCCATCATGCTAAATCCCAACAACAGGAAAAAAACAGACCATTTTCCACCACTTTCCCAGCAGAGGATTCATCACTCACCATCCCCCAGCAGCCTTTTGGTGGAGCCTCTTTGCTCCACTAAGGTCTCACTACAGCTTTTTTTCCCTGCTCATGCCTTTACAGCATATCCAGCTTTGAAATCACCTACCTGAGCCAAAGTGTTCAAAGAGAAGCTGTAGTCCTCGAAGTTGCATTTTCGTTTGGCTGTGGAGAAATGGAAAGGGGGTCAAAAGTTAGCAATCTGTGTTCTACCCTCTCAGAAAGTCATCTTGTTTTGCTCTTACCTTCCTCTAGCTTGGAGAATGATTGAGACAGGGGCAGTGCATCTTCCATTGGGACCTTGTAGACTAGCAAAGAGGGGAACCTTAAAGAAAAAGAAGAAAAGATGATTCTTGCTCCGTATTGATGTCCTGGGACCAAAACTTTATGTCATGCTACGAGCTGGATGTGTGATGTTTTGCTGTAGGGTGCACAGCAGGGTTGGATGTGATGACATCAAATCAGGTCCACATACAGGGCCTCTGAGCTGTTCATCCCTCTCCAACTGAGATCCTGAGTCCGGCCATCACACTGGGCACATTTTTAGGGATGAATTAGTGTTGAAACCACCTTTCATCCCATATGTTATAGTTACCGCTCCTGACGGGCTGCGCTTGGGAAAATCCTCAAAATCTCAGCGTGGAGAAGATCAGCACGCTCTGGATCCTTCACCTTAATTTCCAGCAGATAGCCCTTGCCAAACTTGTTCTTCAGGTACTGAATGGAGCCAATGCACCTGCAGGAGGGGAAGGAAAAAGATGTGAGTGTGAAACCATTGGTACCCCATCATCTGCTCCTTCCCAAATTGGTGAAATCGTAGGGAGCACTTCAGAAAGCTCATGGTGATGGGCTCAGGAGGGTGAGGCTGGAGGAAAAGCCCTTATTGCAGCATGGGCTGTTTCCCAGCTCAGCTGCATTCCCACCGTAGCTGCCCGGACACCAGGATGGCCACACGGTCACACACTGCCTCTGCCTCCTCCATGTAGTGTGTCGAAAGGATGGCTCCCGACTCCTTGGTTTGCAGGGCGGCACGAAGCATTTTCCTGGGGACCAGAAAGGGGGGAAAAAGAAGAAGAAAAAAAAGTTAACATTCCCTAGGAATATCAGACACTTCTTCTTATACTTTTGTCCCTCCAAATGCATCTGCCCTAAAACAAGTGTAAAAATTCACATACAACAACTTCAGACTGACGTGCAAATGGTAATACTTTGAAATAATAATATTGGAATATATATATATAAAATGATATATATGAGAATACATATTTTTGACTCAGGTCCCTTTATGAATCCTTCCAAATCCCACATATGACTGTCCTAAAGTTTGCAATAAGGATGAGGGTAAAATGTTTTTTCTCTCTCCTTGCTCATGCTTTAGCTAGAGAGAACCAAGAAAATGGAATATCCAGCAAAACCATTGGCAGATGATGAGCAGCACTAACCACAGATGGGGTAAAACACTCTTTACCTAGCCTTAGGCATTGCATTCTTGCCTGCCAACCCCTTTACCACCATTGTGGCACAGTGCCCGAGGTCCTACTCACCAGACACAGCGCTGCCCGTTGGGGTCCATGCCAGTTGATGGCTCGTCCAGGAGCAGGACCGCAGGGTTGCCCAGCATGCACACTGCAAAGCACAGCTAGGACAGGGAAACGGGGCTGCGTCAATCCCTTTGCAGTCCCTGGAGTTCTGTCTACAAAGAGCTGCAGACAGCATTGCTTCATTTATGGGAATCAAGGTTTGATTTATAGGCAATGTGGTTTTGGAAAAGGCTGATTTCCATCACCCCACCGTGGGAGATAGCATGATGCTCTCCCTGTAGCTCAGAGAACAGGTAGGTTCCTCTTCCAACAAAGGGGATATTTGATTTGTGCTGTGAGCACTGCAGTACTCATTGTAGGTAACACAATACAAACCTTTCTGGTTATCCCAGCAGATAATTTTCTAGGTTTCTTTTTTAGGTAGTCTTGAAGCTGCAGAGCATGTACTATTCTGTGGGGAAAAGGAACAAGTGAAAAAAGGGAAGAACATTTTTGTTATTCCAAATCAATACTCTCATCAAGGAATCCCAAAATTATAAGAAAAAACAACTTTCTTCCTCTTGCTTTTCACTCCTGTTTGTTTTCATGAAATATTTATTGCATTATTAAAATGCAAGTGAATATTTGAAGGAAAGTGTACTGAACAAACCACAAGCTTTTGTCTAAACCCAGCATTAGTGTCAACAGCATTATAAATCCTTCCCACCTTGCCAATGTCAGCTGAGCAGGCAGTGCTTAAGCACCTTTTCTTGTAGTGCCCAACTGTAACATCAGATTTCGGAAAAGCTTCCTAGAGATAACACACTTTAAAGGGCATTAGTGGTAAATTTATCCTCACTAGATGCACTCAGGCGAACTGGAGATTTTCTTAATCCACTCACTTAATCATGGCATTTAGCACAAAATCGTTTTTGCAGCCCCATTTCCTGAGTTTCTTTATGGCTTATTTTGACTTTCTCGTCCCCTTCTCATGGCCGAGGAGGAGGGATAAACCACTGGCCAACCCCAGGAAGCAGCCTCCATCCGTACCGGTTGACAGCAGCAGCCGTGTCCTCCTTGGACACCCCTTTCACAGCTGCATAGACCTGCAGATGCTGGAGCACGGTGAGGTCTGGCCAGAGCGGGTCCTCCTGCGGGCAGTACCCCAGGAAGGCAGGTGCATGGTCCTGGAGATGGGAGGTTGCTCCATCTCCTCTCTTCATCAGCACCTGCAAAAACAGGGTGATCTCACAACATACAAGGAAGGGTATGGTTCAGAGGAAGACTAGGGGCTTCACTGGGATTTAGGCAAGGAAACCCAAAGAGCAAGGCAGTGATTTTGCAACCCTCACTTGCATCTTTCTAAAGATAAACATGGACAATTAAGGTAGATGCAACTGCTTGTTGAAGTCAGAACAAGCTCACAATTTGCTGGTGATGCACTGGCACAGGGTGACCAGAGAAGCTGTGGCTGCCCCATCCCTGGCAGTGTCCAAGGCCAGGTTGGACACAGGGGCTTGGAGCAACCTGCTCTAGTGGAAGGTGTCCCTGTCCGTGGCAGGGGGTTGGAGCTGGATGAGCTTTAAGGTTCCTTCCAATACAAACCAGGCTGGGATTCTATGAATATTTTTACCAATACATTTAATTTAATACACTCAATACAATTTAATAGCACAGTGAATGCAGTTAAAACCTTGATCACTAACAATGCTGTGAAAAACAATGGTAGCTTAGCCTAGGAGCAAGGTTTGCACTTGTGTTTTTATCATGGATCTCTCCCCTTTCTCCTACCTGCCCAGCAGTCAGTGTCGTCTCTCCAGTGATCATTTTCATAGCTGTGCTTTTACCAGCTCCATTGGGCCCCAGCAGCCCTAATACTTCTCCTGGAATCAATGCATATAATTTCTTAGTAATACTTCCCCTTCAAGAAACATACCAGGCACAGTCCCACAGAAGAAAAAACATACAAAAGAGAGCATGCTAATACAAAGATCATATAAAAGTAAATAGTATAAATATATGCCTGAGAGCCCATAACATTTCAGCTGTAACCAGTGCTGTGAGTCTGAGCACTGCTCCCAGGGCTCTCAGAAGCCTCTGCTGAAGTGGATCCTTGCAAGAGGGGGCTATGTTAGTTTAGGTAACAGAGTCAAAGGTAACTAACAAGATGCATCCATGTCACATTGTCCATTAACACATCAACTACAGACTGAACGTGCCCTAACCACAGAGCAAATAGATTTGACCTTTATGTTCTTGCTCAGATAACTCAGAACTAACTTTCTGGGTATGATCAGGAGTCCAGATCAGGTCTAGGAGAACAGTTCCAGATCTCACCTTTTTTAACGCAGAAGGAAACATTTTTGGTGGCCATTTTCTTCTTCTTCTTAAAAACAGAACCAGCTTGCTTTGTTTTATATTCCTTGCACAGATTGCTGACAATAATGACTGATTTCTGAAAGTGAGGAGGGAAAAGAAAGATCAATCTATTATACTGGATAACATTAAGCCCTCAGTGATATTTTTCCATCAAAAAAGGGAGAAAACCTTCTAAAGATCTTTGGTTTATGGTTCACTGAGAATCTGAGGTGCAACAGGACAATTCATTGCCCACATTCCTCTTAACAGCTTTCTTCTCTACCCTGATGGTACCCACACTGTATATCTGGGAGCTGGATTCTCCCCATGAGAACAGTACAGCCAGAGCACTGACCTGTGCTTACTGATATTTGGTGATTTGGTTTTTACCAGTGGGCTTCTTATTGACATAAAATAAGACAAGACTTGGTCATACCTCCTCCTGACTTGGAGCTGCTATGGCATTTCTCACTGCTGCTCTTTCAGCTTTGACATCTTCGTCTTCCTCTTCAAGCTCCTCAGGATGCTGGTGGCCGCTTTCTCTTCTTGGGGAAATCCTACAAATGCACCACATTCATCTTAGCATGTTGTTCTTTAACCTTGTTCTCCACCAGTGGAGAACATTGACTCTTGGGTAAACCAAGAGTTCAATGTTTCTTGCATTTTTTAATTAATATTAATTTAAAAAATATCTTTATAATCTGCAATTTATAATCAAAGAACTGTGTGTGGTGGGAGTTTAGATCTCACATGTGCCTGCGGTACACATGTGTTTATACCAACCTGAATATTGGGTCTTTTCTCAGAACTGCTCTTCCATATTTGATCTCCAAATATCGAAGAAGAAAAATGAAACCCACAGAATGGATATAAGGCTGAAAGAAAAGAGGTTGCCACATTAACAGCCTTCCCTTCCATCCTGCTACTGCTGAAACTGAGAAGGTGGTGGTGAGGTTACAAAATATAGTGGGGGGAAAACCACAGTATGCAAAAATAAAGTCCATTAACATCTAAATTTGGGGTAATCCTGAAGGATGTGAATTCTACTGTCACTTACCAATACTCCAGGAAATGCCAATAATAGAAGAAATACATCATTCATAAGATAACAGCGTTAAGTGATTTGAGCTTATTCCATTTCCCCTTCCCCATTTCAAAGGAGCTAGGTTATTACGGGGGGGTAACCCACTGAGATCCTCCTGCAGGAAATGAGACCAGGGCTCTTGCCTGTTCACTCAAAACTAAGGCCAGGGTTTTAGTAGACACATATTACTAAATAAAAATAATCTTAAATGTTTTCTTACTGCAAAGACAGCTATTAGTACATCGTTCTTTGAAGTCACATCAAGTAACCTGGCATCTTCTATAAAAATCTATAAGAATAATAAGAAAATACACAATGAAGACCTGCTGGCTAATTCTGGAAGGGTTAAAAGCAAATAACAGATACTTTGAAAATGTAGAAAAGCTTCTGATTTACCCAAAATATTCACTATACGATGAACAAATAAGATGTTTAACTTTGGGCATCTGATACCAGAAAATGTCACAGCACACCGTACCTGTCTAAAACAACCCACTTTCCAGGGATAATGACCTATCACAGGGAAACGTCTCCTCTCCTTTGAGCAGAGAAGAGGTGGTGGTGACTGGGACAGGACAGAGGAGGAGTCTTTCCTGTTTGGACTCACTCCTAAGTAATTTGGGGCTCATAAATGGCCTTGCATGTAGCTGGAGGGTTTTGTTACATTCGTAGCTGACTTTCCACCACCCCACTCAGCTGACATGGAATAAAGCACCTTGTGAGTGTTCTTAATTCTCCCTTGGCTTCCATGCAACATAAGATGTGTAATTTTCTCATACGGTTGTTGAAGCCATGCTGCTCGACTCTGCGTAAGAAGATCCTAATCTACAATCACAACTGCATGAAAAGTGTCCCCTAACCATAATGAACAGCTGGGAAAATTAGATCTGATCCAAAATGGACATCTGATGATGCACTCTGGCCATTGGGAAAATCCCACTCATAAGAGGAAACTAAGGAGCCTTCCCAGAGCACAGTGTGTTGTTGCCACCAGACTTTGCTCACAAGGACACTTAGTTGTGTTCTGTGGTGGGGTTCCTCTCCTCCCCCAGCGCTGCTGCTTACCTGCAGGCAGCTTATTGTTACACCCAGCAGTGGGTACATGGGAGTCAAGAGAGACAGAATGTAGAGGGTGACTCTGCCATCAGTGGACAAATCCATGACTCTGCTGATGATATAAGTAACGAAGCATACCTAAAAATAAAGCAAGAGGGTAACTTAGCTGATGGGGGGGGGGGAAATCACACCCATCACTGGCCTTAAAAATTGTGTGGGTCTACTTTTTCGATTTCCTGATGGATTTCTAAAGGTGGACAAGAGAGATAAAGATAAGAAACAGTAAGGGAGGTTCTCAACCATCTCTGTCTGAGGGTAGGATGCTGGTTTGGGTCAGCCAGAGAAACTTCTTCCTAGACACAAGGCTGCTTCAGGCAGAACAACGAAGCACGGCATCCCGTCCTGTTCATTCCATCCCAAGATCATGCCAAATAACCCAGGTTAGGCTGCATCTAACCTAATGGTTCATATCTCTACAGCTTACATCTCCTGGATGCAAAGTGTTGAACAGAGCGATAAATAACTTTCTTGCCTTCATTCCTGAACCAGCTCAGAGTAGATTCAAGCATTTCCCTGTGCCACAACAGGATTATGGGAACATGGTGTTAGGAATTTGATATAGAATTGACTGCTATAAAACACATATTTATGTTCTACATCTATACTTGGTGTTTTTTTAACATAGAGTTCATCCTTAAGTTCTCAAAATACACTTCTATAAACCCTACAGCACATTCTCTAGCCATATGCTTACCACTATCAGGATAAAAGACCAAAAATCACAGTTCCATCCTTTGCGGAAGATGAAGGAGATCACGTAGATGAAGAGAACGATAGAAATTCCATAGCCTAAAGCACCTGTGATCTACAGAAAGAAAGGGCTTTCATTAGAAATTGGAGTCATCTAAGTAACCAGAAACCTATATATAGTAATATGGTTCAGTTTAAAGGATCATACATTAAGATCAAAGTATTCATAAATTACCACAATTCTACTGCCAAGTATAAGGGGGTATATTAAAGGTAAGATTTATTGCCTTTTATTTCCAGCTGGGGAAACCCAAATGATAGGAGGTGAAACAAGGAGAAGGTCACTAAGCACCTGGGGACCCAGAGGTGTCTCCTTTATCCCTATGCATGCTCGGAATACTACCTCAATCCCTCCCTAGTGAACCAGAAATCATCAGAATGGGATGTACCAGCAGGAAGAGGATGTCGGCATGCCAGGAAACCTTGGTGCTCAATGCAAACTGGAGCCCAAACATTGAGAAGAGAAGGAGCCAGCACAGTGGGATGTCCACCAGTGCCTGCCCACACCAGTATGCTGAAGGAAAGAGCCCTGAGACCCCCAGCTGGGCACGAGCTCCCACCTGGGAAGACACAATGCAAAGGGCAGTTTGTTGTTGGCTGCAAAGCTGCTCATAGCATCATACTCAAATGTCCTTGTTGCAATGCAGTTGCAATCCCTTCTGCACACCCCAAATCTGCTCCATTTCAAGGGATTTACCTTGTAATCCTGCATGTAGCCCATTGCAAAGTGAGGCGGAAAACCAGGGAATAACAGCAGCATATAGAAGAGGTAAAAAGAAACAAAATAATCCCAGAATTGTGGATTGTCTATCTGAAAATAGAACAAAGCATTTGTGGAAACCATCTGCAATGTAAAGACTAGATGCAACAATTCATTTTACTGCATTTCTCATGAAATACAGGGCAGGATGAACACAAAGTGAGATCTGAAACCAAATATGGACAGGAAGAAGGTTTTCCTCAAACTGTAGCCCTGCAAAGTGATGTAGAGAATAAGGAACCTCCTTAAGAAACCCTTCCAGCCACGTTCAGCATCCCCTGAGACCCAGAGGGGAAAAATTAGCTTCAGTTTTCCTGAAGTCAACACGATGGTTCCAGAGTGAGCATTGAGGACAGCGGGTTCACAGGTATGAACATGGGCTTCCTGTTAAAATCTGATGAGTTACTGAGACCTTAATCAGATTTAAGAACTATTTTCTGACACCTTCTGGCTCTGACACTTACAGAGAAAAATGGATGGCTCCAGATCCGAATGTGCGCCGTGGAGTTGAGGGCTCTCAGCAGAGCGTTGCTAATGATGTTCACAAGCACCGGGAAGCAGTTGACAGTCTCCATGTGGCATAACACGGTAAACCTGTAGCTCTTCAAAGAGCAAGAAAACAAGATGAAAACTCATGGCTTTTCTCATCCACAGTAGAAAAGGAGCATAGCCAGGAGAATCCAGGCCTGGAATAACTTTGCTTATGCTTTGTTTGCTTAAAAACCCAAATTATGAGATATTAGAAGTCCATGCTACAGAAAATGTGAAGTTTGAGGTGGAGGATGAAGGTGATATGGTCTCCTCTATTATGTAATTTACTGGTTAAAACACCTTCACACCTTTGAACTCATGGGCCTTATTCAATAGGACCATCCCACAGGTAGACCTCATGAAGGCATCATGCTGAGTTACTCAGTTATTGGGAAGAAACGGGTGGAGAACAAAAGATCCTCACCTGATCTTTGTGAGACACCTTTATAGCCCCATTGTGTTTTAGCTCTTCCGTGGTGTTTTCCTCACTTGTTATTTCCACTGTGAGGTCTTGGCTCTCAAGCATGTGGATGAAGTCTTCAATGTCTGTGCCTGGCGTGAGAGCCAAAAGCAGAGGAATCACAGTACTGGACCAAAGAGAGTCTTTGATGGTTTGGGTTTTTAGTTCAAATCCATGACCACCAAACAAAACCTGGGAAAGCCTAATAACTGTGGATATCAGACAGCAAACACGAGGTGGATCGTTGCACATTAATTCTTGTGAAGTTATTAGATTTCAGTCTCATTGACTGCATTTTTGCATTGTTGTTTTTTTCCCCTGCCTTTGCTGAGTTGCTACAAAATGTGTCCTCTTTTGTGATGGTCTGATGAAGCCAACACTTTTGTACTCTGTCCAAATAATGCAAAATAGCTACCATTCATAGGAATATCAACGGTAAAACTGGAAGTAGACCATTAATCTGACTCAGCATTAGTGAGCCTTTACTGGAGTATGGCTTGAGAATCCCACATTCTGAAAATGCAGAAATTGTTTGGATAGAGGTCTGGATTTGGGGCAGGGAATGAACTGGGTCCCTTCTAATCTCATTTGCTATGATAGCCCTTTTCACATCATTACATCAGGATCTCTCGAGTGGGTTTCATTCACAACCCTTTAAAAATGACAATTCCCATCATCTCCACCACAAAACCCTCAATCACCCCCTAGATCCCCTGCATCCTACAACCATCTCCTCTCTCACTTATTTTCCTTTGCAACACCATGCAGCCCCAGCGTAAGAAAGGATGAGGAAAAGCTCATTCCCCTCACCCGTGTTATTGTGGACCAGGAGGCTGGTTGTTGTCTCTGACCAAGCCCTCTTCCCCCGGGGCAAGAAGTACCGTGCAGATGAGAGCTCCCAAGCACTCACACTCTGCCAGGCAGCAACCAGGGACAGTTGCAAAACCAGAGGAAGCAGAAAAACCACATAGAGCAGCAAACTAAAGAGAGAGAGGAAGAGACACTCTGAAAATACATTCAGCAGAACGCAGATGCATGTTGGGAATGGTAAACTATATGCTTTTGTCAGGAATTTTTGGCAATTTTCAGAAGTCTCAAATTTGATCATTCACAAAGGACCTCAAAATGTATCAGGGAGAGGATCTCAGATCTGGAGTGCTCAACTTTTTAGAGCCATGAAATGCTTTTCAGACTTCCTTAAAGATGCCTAAATCAGCATCTGCTGTCTGTTTCTTGTACCCCAGCAGGAAATACCAGCTTGAAGATCAATGGGGACGAAATAGTTCAACGCTGGCAACGTGAGAGAATTTTAAGTTAAAAGAGGAAGCCTGAAAGTAGCATTTTCCCCTCCTCTTTTTGTACAGTTTATTTTGAAACTTTCCCCTCCCCCTGAAATGAAAGTGTTTCTAAATGATTCTTTTCTTCAGAAAGAAAATGGATTTCCATTGCATAAATTACTCAGAAGGGAATATGCACAAAAGGGAGATTTTTATACTACTGGCACTCGAAAAGAAGCAGCTTTCCTCTCCACTGCGTGCAGATTACCAAGATCATTCATTACTAAGACCTGACATCAGCTAATCTGAATGCTCATCGAAACAGCCTGCTGTGATTGTCCAGATCTGCAAGACAGAATCGCTTGAGTACTTACATGGACCGCAGGTTTTTCACTGAACTCCTAAGCTTTAAGAAGTGCACCCATGCCATGGCAGAGACCTGCTGCCTCCAAAGAGCCAAGCCGACGACTGCCGCCTTCCCGGAGCCCGAGAGCAGCAGGGAGCCCGGCTCCGTCTTGTCAGGGCGTCGTGGTCCTGCTTCTGCACGCTCCTCCCCGAGGACGTGCTCATCTGCAGAGAGTTTTCCACGTGCACATTTATGTCTAAGACCAGCTTCTATGTTGTAATGTGTGAAAGCCTAAGAGCCATCTAGTAACCAGATGCTGGAGGCCAGGGGCTATTGTAAAGTAGCTGTTCCCTTTGGCTGCGGGTTGTGTGTTTGCAGCCACGATTGTACCTTCTTCATCCACCGTGGCTTCCTCCTCCAGTCTCAGGAAGACATCCTCCAGGGTTGTCATGCTAACTCCATAATTGATAATTCCCTGGTCAGAGCAGCTGTCGAGGCCACTGAACAGATCTGCAGGTCAGAGATAATACAAGTGCCTTCAGGGTTTCAAATATAAGCACATATAAGCTCCATCCCTGGCAATGTTCAAGGCCAGACTGGACAGAGCCTTGTCCAACATGGACTAGTATGAAGCATCCTTGCCCAAGGCAGAGGGGTTGGAACTAGATGATCTTAAGGTCTTTTCCAACCCAAACCATTCTATGATTCTATAATCCTATGCTAAAATTGTGGGGGAAAACAAAAATGCAACAGTTCTAAATCCTTATGTGACTCCTGTAGAAAATGTCCCTCTTCATTTCTCTTGCCACACATTTATGTTTCCCCCCCCCCCATGGAAAATTCTTAATTATTTTACTACACTTTACCTGGGAATTTGTTCACATTTTCTAATGGGAGTTGATATCTCAGCTCGTATTGACTGTGTCCTGAGAATATGACATCGGGGATGTACCGTTTAACCAGAGATGTCACACTCTCTAAGTCACAGGACTCACTGACATGGATCCTGTTCAGTTACAAAGAGAGAGATGCTTAGTCTTGAAAAAACAAACAAACAATACAACCAACCAACCAAACCCAACAAACCCAACAAAAATAATCCCCCAAACCCAAACCCAACCACCCACCCACCACCACAGTGTTTGCTTGGATGCGTATAAAGAAAGCTCCAGTATATTTCATTCATTCCTTACTCTGGAGTAAATTGCTGCTTCAGTTTGTTTAACTGATTACTAATTAAGTTAATTTTCTTGTTTTGATGGCATCTGCTCTATGGTTTTCCCCGACAGTCATTCTGGTGGCTCTTTGTATACGCGTATTCCCAGATAGCAGTTTTTGGGGCTGAAGTAGGTACCTTAAATGATAGCAAATCCCCCATTTTTTCTTCAAGAACAGAGAAGAACCGACACATTTCAGCCTCCCATGTGAGATAAAAGCCTTGCGGTCTAGAGAAAGAAAGAGCCAAAGGAATTTGTACTGCAGAGCTGTGGTTCAAAACTGGTTTTGCAGCTGAACCTCACATGGGCTTTCTGCTCCAGTGTTGTCCTGCAGAGCTGCTGCAGGCTGAGCCAGTGCTTACCTGCGAGGATATCAGCCTCATCCATGAACTGGGTACTAAACAGGATCACCCGTCCAGCTCTGAGCTCCTTGAGGAGGCTCCACACCTTGTGCCTGGAAAGAGGATCCAACCCAGCCGTTGGCTCATCCAGGAACAAAACCTGCCGAACGGATGAAATCAGACATTCCTCAATTGCTTGTCTTTTGGGTTTGGTGTTCTCCTGAAAGCCTCAGGTCCTGAAGGCAAGAGACCCAAGACACCTTTTATGCACGGGCATCTATTCTGGGAGCTATGCAGAGGTCAGGGAACTGTCTCTCTGCTTTAAAACTAGCCAAGCAAGATGGATCAGTAATATCATGAAATTATTAAATTTATTAACTTTAATAATTATGAGAACTTTAAAGATGTCTGAAATCATGCAAGAACTTGTAGCCAAGTGCATAAGAAGGTTTTACTTATGTTGGACCTGAACATTCCCCATATTACACAGCCGTTCCTGCTGCTTTACCTGGGGATTCCCAAGCATGGCTATTCCAATGGATAACTTCCGTTTCTGTCCACCACTCAGTTTCTCCGCTTGAGTGTCTTGAATATTACCAATATCCAGCAGTTCCAAGATGTTTCGCACCTAGAACAGCAGAAGGATGTCCGTTCTCAGCACCAGATATCCTTCCATCCTTTACTAGTCATGAAGGACATCTGGCTGGGACTGAAGGTGCAGTTTCTAAGAGTATGTACTGAGGTCTACCACCTTGGGTTGAGCAGACGAATTGCTGTAGTAGCATCAAGCCCACAAGCTTGCCTACGAACCTGGTTGATTGACATGAGCTTTGGTTTTCAGAAGACACAACCAGGAGGACCCTTTGAGCTTCCCAAAGGAGCCTTTGCCGAAACATGATGCATTCCAAGGGTGTATTCAGAGAAACACACAACTTACCTCTCGTTCTACCTCTTTGGACTTGATACCCTTGACTTCTGCAAAGGTTTTCAAGTTTTCTTTCACTGTCAAGACCTCAAACTGTACGTTGAACTGGGGGCAAATGCCAATCATCTCTCTAATCTCTTCTCTGTCTCTTATTTCAGAGAGTTTGTAGTTGTAGATGGTTGCAGAGCCTGTTTACAGGAACAAATGTGGTGAGGTGGAACAAGTTGATCTTTACAGCTTCTGAATCAAGCCCACTACTTGCCATCCTACCTTCAGAAGGGAAAGTGAGTCCACTGAGCACGTTTAGCAGTGTCGTCTTCCCAGCCCCACTGTGGCCGAGTAAGGCAGTGATCTGACCCTCATAAATATTTAGAGACAAACCTAGAATGAAAACAACATCAAGTTTGGGAAGAAATGAGGTTTGACTTGGCTCTACTCGTTGTTGAAGGAAACACAAGTCAAGAAGTATAAGCACTAAGTAGCAATAATTAGCAAAACACTAAGCAACGTGGGGCAAAGTTCTGCAAACCTTTAACTAAAGGTGTAAGAAGCTGCTCTGTATTTAGCAGAAAAGACTGAAATACAATAGAAAATCAGTAAAAGCAGAACAAAATAGTGGTCAGTTATATCACTTACTATTTGACATAAATTTCCAAGCAAGGCAAGTGTTTTCTTTGACTGAAATGTTTGTACAACTGTTTTCCCTCATCTTTAACAGGAATCAGTATCGCAGCTTTCTTACCTCTCAGAGCTTCTGTCTTCTTGTCCTTCTTTTTATATGCTTTTTTAATATTGTGGAGTCTAAAAGGAGGGTAAGAACTATATTATTTCAGGATTCCTTTCTAATGGAAGGTGTCCCTGCCTGTGGCAGGAGACTGGAAACGGATGAGCTTTAAGGTCCCTTCAACCCAAACCACTCTATGAAATACATTTCCCCGTTGCTCTTTTTCATTCTTATGGGCCTTAATTTAAAATCAGAGAAATGGCATAAAAAGTAAGAGGTACTGGGAAGCAACCCTGAGATTCAGCAGGGTTTGGCGTGCTCTGTACACAGACGTGAACATCTCTACCTGGCACACAACACTGGAGCACGCAGCCTTGCAAAGACAAGAACAAGTCCATGGTTTATAATGCACTGACCTCCATGTTCTCCTTGTTGATCCTAATGGATGTTTAACAAAGTCCATAGCAAAAAAACCCTGTTATTTTTTAATCTGAATTTATCCAAATTCCACCATTAGTGCTCAGCCTGAATTATCTGTTTCTCCCATCTGCATTTTATTACTAATATTTCTCTGTGAAACAAAGTGTTTTGCAAGAGCCTCATGAACACAAAAAACTGCCTGGGTAAATCAAATCGAAGCTGATGGTGGAAGTGATGGTTGGTGGGAGCATTAAACCCAAGCTACCCAACTTAAAAAGCATGTAGAGCAGCTCCTCTCTTTACCTGATGGCCTCTTTTTCCATGAATTCAGGGGGCACTGGCTCTACATCATCACTGAGGAGCTCCTCAGGGCTCACTGAAGCTCTGGGCATCTCCCTGGTGGAGCCTCTCCTGCTCTGCACCCAGTACGAGGGCTTCAGGCAGAAAAAAGGGGGGTCTGGGATGCCATATTTGCCTGACAGGAAAGCAGAGAAGATGACCTGTCATTAACCAAAGTGACAACCAAGACACCATCCTGAACTAAACATTTAGGAGGTTCTAATAAGTACTTGGATTACTCAAAACTGGTACTTTGAGAAAGTAAAGAAAGAGGTTTGGAGATGGGGTTAGACTAGACAAGCAGGTTGGCTTCAGGGCTATAGCTAGTGAATTCAGCATTTACTTAATGAATTAACATATTGTCCCATACATTATTACACTGTTTTCAAATAAACAGTTCAACAGCAATATAAGAGAAAGAAAACCACTAAGTACTTTGTTGTCTTTGATTTGGGATTTAAGAACGTGTGTGCCAGGGGCAGAAAAGCCACTCGGTAATATAATACAATATGTTTTTTTAGTCCAAAACCTATTTTGAGAATGGAGCAGCCCCTCATTTCCTTGACAAGCTATTACAAGCAATCCATATAAATCAAAGGTATAAAATGTGAGAGTATAATCAGAAGTATAAATTATACCTACCTGGCAGAACTTTGTCAAAGTACATAGCTAACAGCATGTACAAGGCTGAGTCAAAGACCAGCATAATGTAAGTAGAAAATAAAAAATAGGAGTCCTCCATTAGGTTAGAAAAAGAGAAACCCATTCCATACTTTTCTAAATGGAAAACCTGAAAGAAAGGACAAAGAAGAATAATTTTCAGGCTGGAAAACTATGCACATGCCATCAAACCATGGGTGCAACTGACTTTGTTAACCTAGACATCACCTGCAGTACTGACCAATTTTCCTTCCTTTCTATCTAGTGAGGAAAGGAAACACATTTACTCCATGCAGAGATCTTATGGTTTCGTTTAGAATTTTCCAGAACAATCCAGAAGCAGAGATCAGTGTTATAGAAAGTCATTGAAGAAACATGATATTGGCACCCTTGACGTGACAGTCACGACAAAGACGAAGTTTTACATAGTGATTGATTTATCCATATGGTAAATTATCAGTAAACTCAGTTTCTTTTCCTTCTGGTGCAGAAATCTCCTCTCCCAGACAGATCTGTGTGCATGTATATATATA